CAACTTTGGAAAAAGTCATCCCAATTTACTGTGTTGAGTTGGCATTGTACAGAAATGCACAGCCATATTGGTCTAGAAATGTTAATTTTTTTTTCCACGTGTACAGGGGTAATGTACTGTATTGAATATGTGAGGTCATATCTACGTGGGTTTGATTACAGAAACTAATAAAGTATTCTCTAAATAATGAAAAAAAGAATAAGAAGACTATAAGAGCAAAAACCAATTTAAATAGGTTCGGGGACCATTTTCATCCCCAGAATTAAGGATTATTTTAATGTTACATCATTGCCTTTACTCTTTTACTTTCCTTTTTAGTTTTATTTTAGGATTCCCTATTTTTAATGTTCATACAGAGATTTCTTTAACTGAAATACCGAATAGTTTCTTTGGTGTGAAAAACTGTAATAGTACACAGGATCCTAATGAGATAATTAGTAATGTGAAATAGGAAGTAAAGGGCTAAAGGTGTAGGGAAAGTGGGAAGGGTGGGGGAAAGGTAATAAGGGAGAGGAAAAAAATATGAGAAACTGAAAAAATGGAAATAGTGTTTGTAAATGGGGAGGGGAGGAGGGGGTGAAGGGAGGGCAGGGACAAGGGGAAAAAATGAGAATCAAGACCTATTATGTAAAGGTACAGAATCCCAATGATGAATGTAACTGTATTGTATACCTAGATTGTACCAATAAACTCAATTAAAAAAAAAAAGAAACAAACCATAAGAAAATGTTTCAGGGCATAATTAAGAGCCTCAACTGGTATTTGCCAATGTATAGCAGAGTGATTTAGAGTTCTCATTGCCAGTTACTGGACAAGGTTGTGAACCCAACTGTTACATATCCAGTGGACTGGTTTGCTCATACATAATATGACAGCATAAGCAAGACCTCATTGTCAAGATTAAATGAGATGACAGAGGTAAATTACTTGGCAAGTGAAGAATGATCGGTATCATCACCATCATCAAATCAGATAGACCACAATTGGCCATAACATTAACCCAGGCTCTGTGGAGACAGACTCTGAGAGTAAAGGTCTAAACAGATTAAGAAACAGCTGTGAGAAAATTGGGAAGGAGTCAAGGAAGGCTGAGGGAACTATGAGATCTCATGAAGGTCTGACCCTGTGGAAGAAAGGAGGAGGAAGGTTGGAAAGGCAATGTCTGACAGTGATGCAGTGCTAAGAATTTTCAGGGAAGTCAGGAGAGTCCCAAACCAGTACCAATCAGAAGGCCGTGTCTCCCAGAAACTGGTCTTGGTATTCCTACCACACTGAACTGTCACTGGCTGATGCAGCCAAGTGGCATTGGCCTTGTACAAACATAGTGCTGAGTATTAGAGCCAGAGGCCAATTATGCTCCTTGCTAAGAACAAAGAGGCATTTTTCACGTGAATGCCTTAATGTACCTTTGCTAAATATCCCATTAAAACAAGCAAACACATGAATGAAGCTAGCAGGAAGTCTTTAATCCTTCTTCACTAACTCTCATGTAAGTCATCAGCTACACTAGTTTCATAATGAGTTATAGAAACAAAGCACTTAAGATTGATGCCTAGTATCTAGTGATAAATCGTTAATACAGTATAGTGCTCTTAGAATTTAACTGAACTTCGAAAAAAGGAAGACCTACAGGAGTACCAGAGGGTATTTAACAAAATAATGCTGTTATAAGAGTCTTTCATACAGGGCTGGAGATTTAGCTCAGCGGTTCTGCCACCTGCCTCACAAGCACAAGGACCTGAATTTGATCCCCGGTACCAAAAAAAAAAAGTCTTTCATACATAAATCTGCAACATGGTACCCCCAAAATTTTCCTACTGGTTACACAAAAAACTCAAGGCAAGGATAGAATGAGAGTAGAGGGACATCTTCAGATGCAGTCTCATTAACCTTTGGGTGCATTTTTTGGAGTTTTTTTTTTTTTTTTTTTTGCTTTTATCAGATTCTGCCAAATAATTATAATTCTTTATGCATATGTGCATTGTTTCTTTAACTAAGCTTTATTAATGTCATTCATTCAATAAATATATATTGGGGCCAGGGATTTAGCTCAGTGGTTCCGCTGCCTGCCTCATAAGCACAAGGTCCCAAGTTCAATCCCCGGTACCAAAAATAAACAAATATATATATAGCACCTCTATGTGGCAGGTATTGTTCTACTGCTAAGGATAAACACCAGACATGGGAAGATAAACCATAACATAAGTAAGCAAAGATAAAGTTTCCCTGATGTTGGCAAGGACATGAAGAGAAGAAACTAAGACAAAGGAAGAGAGTTTTAATTGAAATTTTAAACTAAAGAAAATTTGAAGTGATCGGGATGGGTCTCATAGAGACAACTACAGCTACACAGTGTTCTGAGGTTGTGAGAAGGATGGAGGCTTTCTTGAGGCACTCATGCAGCTTAATTACCACAGACTTGCTCTGTGCAAGAGTAGTAATCAATACTTGCAGATTAACTGAAATTCAGACTGCAAAAACCATATGCTAGATCAAAGGTCAATCAAGAATGGATGTATTTCTAGTGCAAGTACTGTATATGGTGAGTGTTTAAATTAAAAAGAAACTACTGGGCCAGGGTTTTAGCTCAGTGGTGCCACCACAAGAGCAAGGACTGGAGTTTGATCCGCGGTACCAAAAAATAACAACAAAGAAACTACTGTAGTAAAAGACACATTGCCATTACCCCCAACTCCTCAAATTTTCCCTCACTTCAAACACACTTATCTCACCATTCTTACCACTATCTGAAGAGGTTCTGCAAGTCCCTCTTCCAGTCTTCATGACATGTGATGAAAATATGAATGCTGCTATGAAGTAGCATCCAACAGAAAGGCAGATGCTAAGACCTAGTAGTGTGTCCTGTCCTCTTCTTCCTTATTCACTAGATCTGGCACCATGCAACCTCTGGTTCTTCTCCAAAGTCAAAAGGACCATGAAAGGTAAATGTTTTAAATCCCTTCAGGACACTGAGGCAGCCATGATACCACAACTAAAGTACAGTTAAGCACAACTAGACACTCATGTAAAAAGACTTCCAAAACTGCTCTAGAAAGTATCAAGAATGATGGGATGAGTGTATTTAAAATAAAGAGGAGGAGCCAGGGATTTAGCTCAGTGGTTCCTCTCTGCCTGCAAGTGCAAGGGCCTGAGTTTGATCCCCAGTACCAAAAAAATCAATCAATAAATAAAGAGGAGGATCAATGACAATGTGTCTTTTACTGCAATAGTTTTTTTTAATTTAAACATTCATCAAAATTTTCAACCACACCTCATATATCAAAACTATTATACCTACTGTTGTACAAAGAGTATCCTAACCTTATCCCTGAAAAGCTGAATAATCATCACAAACACAGATATTACTAAAAATGGTTACCACTAGTTTTTTTTTTTTTTTTTTTTTT